ATCAATTTTTTGACCTGCTCATCACTAGAACCAGGAAATAATTTTGCAATGTCAATTCATGCGATAATGTCTTGCTTTTTTCCGCTTGATCGTCAGAACAATCTTCCATTCTCGAGTATAAATAGAGTAATTGAGTACAAAATCACGACTGAAACCTAATTGAATAAATATATCAGAATTTCGTTGAATTCTTTAAAGTAATATCGGAAATCTCACCAGATATTAGTAAACCCACATAGACTAATAGCTAGCTTACTAGCCACAGTAGAAAATAAACATGTACACGTAACTGTAAACCGAATTAAAACCGATGGTAAGTCTATCTATTATTTTAATTTGTCATCCCTGGCCCTGGGTGCCATTTTATTACAAATGTTTTGTTATGTTAGTTTTGATAAAGTAGACTACGAGACGTGGATATAGCTTGTCTCTCAGATTGATCAACTTCATATATACATGCAGCTTTCCAAATTCAAGAACCCAAAAGCAAATGAATGCTCTACTCAAAGTGACCAATTGTTATAATCAAGTCCACATATTAATCCGTAAGGAGCATTTCTGGAACCAGGCCATTCTGGAGTGACTTCATATCTAGGTACGTAATCGTTTTGCACTGCTACTGTACATAAATTTTTCATTCCCTCTTATACATATACATGCTTAATGAGATTTTTGTCCTAAAATTATTGTCTGATTTGGATTTTCACTTTTAGTTCAATTTGTACTAAAAATAAATATCTAAATTGAACATAATTTCGGGACGAAAAGAGTATTATCAAATAATTTGGAATATTCACTACGTTCAATAGCAATATATAACGCAAACCTACTATGGTGGTTTGGTTTACAGTCCTGGAACAATTCAAATTGGGTCAGGGTTAATGCAAAAAGAAAAATAATTCTGCAACTCAATTAATCTCACTAGCATCAAATTTTGGGCTGTCATTAATCTGAAGAACTTCAGCCAGAAAATCTCTTTCAAGGCAGTATGGGTCGGTCATCGGTGACCCCTGACCATGCATGGTCAGTACCAGGGATTTAGTTGTGTATTTATCTTTGTGATATAACCGACTGGTAAAGAAAGCTAATTTACGAAACCGAAAATTTTATACTTTGTAAGAACAGTACACGATGGGATCGTCAAATGCATCCAAAAAAATTAGAAGTAGCATACTGGATTTATTGTTTTACGTCATAAAAATGTCCAATTTTTTGAAACCGATATAATGTAATTATTGTATAATACTCATTCCGTTCAAAAATGATCTTCCAGTTTCAATTTTTATTATTAAGTATAACTACGAATGTGTAATTAAGTTAATAACTTTTGGAGATTTTAACAGTATTACTTTAGAGAGGTTTTCTTTTATTACTCAGGCTTGCTGATTTCCAGCAAAAATAACTAGGCTTTTACTCTATATATTTAAAAAGTTACTAAGCTTCAATTCCACATCGCAGTAGCTCATCTGCGCGTAATTTTATAAAATATTTCTTCATATACCAAAAAGTATTTTACATATACTCCTTTCGATGTTTAATATGAGATATTTTGATTTGTTCAAGGTTTTACCTAGTACATATTTTTAATTGACAAAAAATCTTAAAAATATTTCATTACATTCAAGGGAACACGTACAACGAATGTGAAATTATATTTTCAAAGTTTTTCGTCAATAAAAATGCGTACTACATGTAACTTAGGACAAATCAAATTGATATAAAGACCTGAGAGAGTATTACTTAAGGCCCTTATTTCGACAAGGACGGCTATTGCGGAGCAATACTGATCAATTATCTTTATTCATTCATGATAAGATCACAATCCATGAGGAATGTAATTTTGTTTCTACAATAATTAATACTATACAGTTTAAATGGCCCAAAAGTGTCAAAGTAAATCTAACAATCAAGTGCTTGTTACATTTGTTATATACCAATGCTCGAATTCTGAACATAATTAAATTAATTTAATACTTTTACGACATATATCAAGTAATCGTTGATATGATGTTTTGGAACATGAATACTATGAATGATCGATGAGCCAAATGTCAACACAACTTATGATGTTCCTGCCTCAAGTTGCCACAACCAAAGGGTCGACGTAGCGTCTTCCCTCACGTAAAAATTGTCTTTGTCTTTGCTGCAGCAGAAATGATTTCCTCTTTTTTTTTCCTACGTTTTTTTCATTTTGCTTTTTCCTTTCTTAACATTTACAATAATGATGAATATGAATGTAAGAATGTCAAAGGTTTTAAATGAATTACTCCTGATTCCAGACTCGCTGCAAATCTAATTTCATTTTGTTCTTAAAGTGAGTATTATGATAGAACTATTGGGTTGCTTCTTGCTTGCTACCATGCAGTTTTATGCATTAATTATCAAACGAACAAACTCTACTTTAGGACTCCTCACTTGACTCAGATAATCAAGTTCAACGAGTGAAATTAAACTAAGCAAAAATGAGTAAATTTTACTTATAGTCATCTTTTATATGGACGGTGCTTGAAGTATTATCAAGCTTTCATTATTTTGGCATGTTTTTCTGAATTTCTTTTTTGGAAAAAGGTAATTAATTAAGAGAATGATCAATGGACATGGAATTCTCTTTGTCATTTTTCTATTACACTTTTCTAAACGCTTTTAAATTGGAGAGTTATAATTTGGTGTATAAAAAAAAAATGTCGAGAGGTGTAAATGCAATGGAAGGTGAAGTTCTGCCTCTCAACTAAGTCGAATGTTAATAAATTTGTATGAATTGATGGTACAAACAATATGAGTCGTTTGGTACTTGACAACTTCAAGTAATTCACTTTAATACAATTTATTTGGTATAGTATATATTGGTGTTCAAACTCATTGTTTCGAGACTAATATTGGTATAGTATATATCGATAGGCCCGATGATGTCTTTTGACATGGCTATCTCTTTGACGAGGTTCAAAGCAATAAATGAAATCCGAGTAAATTAAATTGATTTGAGCTGTCAAGCAAAGTTATATGAAAAATTTAAAACATAGCTTTTTGCTAGTTGGCATGCAATATTACTGCAATTATGTGTTCAAATATTTAACTGGTGAATTTATGCTAAATGCATTAGTAGTCAGAAGAAGAAGAGAAGATGTTAACCCATCCCCCAAAAAAACCAAAAAAAAAAAGAAAGAAAGAACAACAGTACTAATTTCCACGAAGCAAGGAATAAGCATAATTCGTTAGAATTTGAAGAAGTACATAAAAGCTCTTGAACAATTCGAAAAAGAATTCAACAATTTGATTACAAATGTTTTGCTAGACTAAACTGTATCCGCAATTCGTTCGTCGTGATAATCTGCACTTCATTAGATGTACTTAACTCCTATGTCCAAAACTGAACGTACGCGTTCGACAAAATAAATTACTTAATGATCGTGTATCTAGTATGACGACAAAGTAAATTATTATTCCTAATCGGCAAAAAAAAGTACACTTTTAGTTGCCACACATAGCCCAATTTGACTCTCCTAATAGTAAATTGCGCAGAATCGAATGAAATGGCTATAATTCAAAATTAATCATGACTATCAGCAGAAAGGACAAAAAGATCTTCTGATACTAGACTATAGATATACAAACAATGTTGCATGCGGCTACTACTACTACTACCCCTTCCCTGTAACTTGCAACCTACGTTGCAATGTTGTATCATATCTTTAGAGCAACAGATTAGTTCACAATTATGATGAATAAACTATTAATTTGCCTCTAGCAAATCCACAATCTGTAAAAACTATTAAATACTCCCCCTAATTGTTTTGTGGATGTCATGTAATAGTTTCAGTAAATTTTATATAACTAGTAAATTCAGAATAGTTGCACTTAATAATAACTCCTAGAGAGTTACTCTTTATGGACTCTGAATATACTTGAATGAACCGTCAAGACGATCAGACTATAGTATTCTAGTACCCAAAATAATTAAATAAGACAAAAAAATAAAAAACACGAATTTTCTTTTTTTCCCCTTAATGTAAAAAACCAAAAATTTAAAAAAATTTAAAAATTCTTCTAACAGGAATTAAAGACAGCAGTAAAAAATGGGAAAATTTGGATTAAGGGCAATAGATAGATTTTAATTTTAATTAATAAAAGGGGCACAAGTTTTACATAATATAGATTAAGGCAGTAAATTACTTTCTCAAAATCATAAACTTAAACTATTTATGCTTTGATGTAAATGCCCCTCATCTTAATCTTTGGAAAACCGTTGTTTTGAATTGATTCATCTCTCTTTTTGCCTGCAATCCTAGATCCTACAGGGAAACCAAACAACGGAAATCAGCCCCAACCCCTAACTTCTGTAATGATGAAGTTGGGAAGAAAATTGTTTTAAAAATGTTGATGTCATGAGACTTCCACTATGACCCTTTCAATGCTCTACTGAAAAAAAAAAAAATGCTAAAAAAGTAGCTGTTATATTTATCCCCTGCATGATTTTCCATTGGCAAAATCTTTTTGTGATTCCTATAAAAAGTGCTCTTCTTACATGGTATACGTCACTAGCATAACAACAAAATAAAACGATAACAACCAGTTCCAAGTTAGCAACCATTGTCAATGCACTAATTGAGATATAATTAACATCAAAAATTTATGAATCAAACTGCTATTAGTACCTCGCAAACAAAGTGGATGGAGGACTATAGGGTTGAAATTTGAGTGATGATGGGCAGCGGGAGAAGAAGGGTTTTCTTTGGATTTGTTTTTCCATGCTAAGTATGAGATTGACTTAAAAGAATGAAGGGCATTTATGTCGGAGCCAAAGTAGTTTAATTTTATGATTTTGAAGAAATAATTCACTGTCTGTAATCCATATTATTAAAACTTATACCCCTTTTATTAATTAAAACCTCTTTACTTTTCTTAATCTAAATTTTCCCTAAAGAAAACCTTGTATGTCCTATAAGAAAAAGCAATAATAAAGCCATATTTTTTTTTTCTGTCCAAGAAAGAATAAGCTTTAATTATGTATGAACAGATCGAACCGCTGCCACCGCCACTCCACCTCCTCCGTCAAAGATGCAAGAATTCCTCCTACTCTGATTACAGTGCTTGTAAATCATCCCTCCTCCACCGTTGTCGTCTTCCCCGCCGTTGTCTTCAACCGGCACTTCATTTCCGACGAAAGACCCGTCTTCAAGATTCAGTATTCTTGATTCTTCTTCTACTTCTTCTTCCAAAACGCCGTCAACCTCCTCTTCCTCCTCCTCGTCGGCGGCGTAGACACCTTCGTCTTTGTTGTCCGTAATGGGTACGAGACGAAGAGTGAGACGGCCGTTAACGGAACGGTCTGCCCGGAGAAAATCTTGCTTCTCAACTTTTTCTTCTCTGATGACCAGTCTTCCGTCGTCAGTGTAATCCCGTTTCATAAAAGAATACAAGTTATCCGTGCGCGCTAACCAAGGAAGCGGCGGCGGAAACTGCTTCTTCTTCTCCTCATCAATCTTCTTCTCCGGCTTATTCCTCCTCCGCTGATCCCTGGCAGTACTTGTTTTATTTGGTATTCCGATTCCGGCGAAATTTACACCGGGAACCCAATCAACGCAACTTTCTACCCCAATGCAATCGTCCAAGTTCGGAGCACTTCTCTCAAACGAGTGCCTTAAACCAGGCATCACAAAGTAAATTATGGGTTCTATGTTTATTTGATGAACATTGATTGTTTCTTCGAATTTTTTCTTGTTGGATTCTTCGTTGATAAGACATGCATGAATCGGGGTTGAGGAGTCTGTGAAGGGAAAATGGTGATTATAGATTTAGGGAGGTATGAATTAAGAGGAATCGAATTGGGTTTATCAAGAAAAGGAAGAAAAAGGAAATACTCCTAGTCTTGAAGAAAAGGAAAAGATTTGAAGTTAGCCACTGACCAGTGAGAGCTAAAATATTTCGTGATTTGCAGGGATTATTGCCTTTTTTTGGATTTAGAAAAATATTAGCTTCTATGTTAGGAAAGTATCTACCTACAATAACAGTGATAAATTACTCGTTAATTAAATCCTATCGCTATTATATTTCTATAATTATAAATAAATTTATGTACTATCATTCAGAAGGCTTTTTTTTTTTTCTTTTTTTGGATATATACAAAAGGACATTAATACAACGTATATTCCACTACATGGATATGAAATTCTATGAAAATTTGACCTTTAATTTCCGGTGTGAATCAGATGAATTTCTAGTTACAAAATTTGTTATCGTATATGAATGTAGAGGACTTTAATCCTTTGATGAATACAAATTCTATTCAATTTCTTTCCTCGCATAGTTTGAGTTTCCTCTATTTGTTCATTTCTATCCTATTTTCCTTATCTCACTGCACTCATTAAATTATGAGATATAATACGACTGAAAAAATAGTTTACATTAATTTAGTTGATAATCGAAACAAGAGGCGATGGAGTAGTTACATAAACTTGCCTCGTATCAATCATATCCCTATGTAATGATGTTTAAGTGTGAATAATCAACGTTTCCGTCCCAAGGCATATGAATGCCATGCATCCTTAACCATTTTAATCTGTCAATGTAGTTTAATTTAGGGATCGTTTAGTTTGTTCATTAGGGTTTACTAAACACCAATTTTTGAAATTATTTCATTCTCCGGTTCTTAAAACAACTGACCTAACACCCCCTTAGTCAATTAATCAGTCAATACAACCGACTGGGATTTAGCAAAATTATTTAATACTACTAAGGGCATGTTTGATAAATTCACTTAATACTTAAAATTATTAGATTAAGTATATTTTTATTTCAGCATATTTGATAACAAAATTTGAATTTCTTAATAAATTAAGTGGTGCTGAAACTGCAGTACAAAATATAAGAAATTGACGAAGCTTGGAATTGTGATTCCGGTTTAGTCGTGGAACTCCGGTAGGGTTTATCTGCAAAACACAGCCTCGGGCGTCTCCCAAGAATAGACACTCCGATACTTAAGTCAGTAAAAGGGTTGTAAAGTACTGTGTATATGATAATCGGAGCTAGAGATAGCGTACCTTAATTATGGTGTGATCAATCCTATTTATAGGCATGAAATAACCTTGATGGATGTCCGAATCCTACTAGGTTTCATGTTTGCTCCACCGCCCTGCTAAGCCGGTTGGGCTATTATCGGGCAAATGGGCCGGTCCAATCTCGATGGTGGATATGGACTCGTCAAGTGCCACTGTCAAGTGTTAGTTACATGAATAAAACAATACTTGACACAAAATAAATCTAACCTGGACACGACCCAAGTTGAATGGACAAGTCTCGGCCCATGCTGCATTGAGTAGGCCTAATGGAATAATTCACGGGTCAGGATTCGACCTAGAAAGGCGACCCGACGTAGAATCCCACCTAAATGGGTGCAGACATGCCCCATTACTCCGCACGTTTCCCAAACGACGGCTATTGGTCTCCTTGAAAATAGAGAAACCGTCACATCGTGGGAGTACCTTGTGTTTTTAAATCCGGTGAGAGAAGATCAATCCCACATTTCAATCTCTTAACCAAAACTACACAAAATCCTCTCTAGTTTTTCTCTGTCGCTTTTGAAGAAGCAGTTGTGACTTCCCGGAAGAGGCCATCTCGAGATTTACCATTCGAAAGTCGGCGATCCTTCTAGTTGCCCCGGTTGTTTGTCGTTACTCCCGTAATACTTGCAGAAGCCTCCGCCGGAGACCATTGTAACCCTGGGAGGCTACAACTCAAAACGAGTGGAAACCTATTTCACAATAAGTATTCAGATTCCCCCATCTCTGTTTCATTTTCAGCCCTTTGAATTCATAGTGTAGATCTAGATTTTGCTTTAAGTAGATAACTATGGCTAGCAACCCGGAATTGAAAACTGTCAATGACTTTGTATCCACCATAGATTCCGATGACAAAGTTAAGGCTGTGAAAATGAGATACGATTTGCATGTAGATCTAGAAGCTAGAGCCCCTTTAGGTAGTGAAAGAGCCAATACTTCTCCAGAGGGAAAAATCACCATTTATGACTGCTTTATGGACCTAGGGGCCTTTTCCCTTTGTTTGAGGAGATCGTTCAACACTACAAAGCCTCTCTATCTCGATTTACTCCAAACTTGACAACATATGTCCTCGGTTTTGTGAGGATATGTGAACGAGTAAAAGTTAGACCTCAATTGATTCTGTGGAGGTACTTCTTCAAAGTGTCTGTGCCCTCGACATCATTCCAAAATTGGTACATCGTAAAAAAGAATCCTAAATTGGGTGCCAAGAAGATTGTAGAGGCATATGGTGGTTCACCAGTGTAGAAGCCAGACAATCTGTTTGTAAAGGCATCCCAACAGTATTGTGTCGCATGGAATTATCAAGAGTCCAATGATCTCGAGACAATAAAGGATGACTGGACAGATGATGATGATGATGACAAAATCGAGGAGCTTGAAGAAGATTTGAAGAATATCGAAAAGTATCTGAAAGTGATTAAGTGGAGCAACATACAACATTACATTCCCCCTATCCCCGTTGAGGAGAAGAAAGGTACTAATCACTTATAATTTTTGTGTTGTTTTTAGGTCATGTTGTCGGGAAATGCTCCTTCTGAAATATATGGTGACGCCGACCCCTTTAATGTTGTGAATTCAGATGAAGAAGTGTCAACAACAAAAACAGTGGTGGCAAAGAAGAAGAAGAAAAAGATCACAAAGGATGCTGAGGAGGGAGAATGCCAGAAATTTTCGCTAGAAAACTGTCACCTCCTCCAAGATATCCACCTTCACCATAGAGAAAGGAACCTCCTTCACCTCGAATAACAAAACCATAACCTCCTTCACCTTGATGTACTCAGGATATAAGCATTAAGAGGCGGGGGCTGCCACATACTATGCAAAACCCGAGGCCCGCCAACGCGCCTTAAAGCTACATGGAAGTCTTTTCGGAAAAAGGCATCCTCCTCCTCATTCCGAATTTTAAGATCATGAATCATCATCAAACAACGTACATGTTCCATAATGGCATGAATAATAGAAGCATGAGTCAGCTTAGCGTCTTCAAAAAAGACCTTGTTCCTTAGCTTTCATAGCTCCCAAAGGATAATAGAAGGTAGAACCTTCCGCAATGCACCATAAGCCAATTTTAGATCATCGCTACTCCACCATCGTCCTAACAAAGAGGATAGAGAAGTCGCACCTTGGATTTGAACTCTCATTAAGGATGAAAAATGTTGCCAAACAGCCCTTGTAAAATCACATCCAGAGAAACAATGAGATATTCCATCATCATGGCACTTGCAAAACAAACATATAGCCGGATAGCAATAGATCCCCATGCGCGCTATGACTTCTGGAAAAGGAAGAAGCTTGTTGCATAATTTCCACAAGAACATAGAAACACGCAAAGGTGTTATAGAATTCCAAAAAATTTTTGCCCAATTTTCCTCCACTCCGTGCCTCCTCAAAGCTTCGTAGGCGGATTTAACCGAAAAGACTCCTGTAGGTGTATGCTGCCAAACAAGGAGGTCATACTCCTCATAAGGACTTGGTCGTGAACCATAAGGAAGTGAAGGATCTCATCAGAAAGAGATGGCTGCAATAATGGGAGGTAATGCTGCCGGTTTTGGAAAAATTCCCGAATGCTTAGGTCCGGTAAAGGTGGTTCCAGTCCTTGAATGTCCCAAAGAACTCCATGGGGCGACCAATTATCAAACCAAAAAGAGCGGTCTCCTCTAGGAACAATGACTTTTGTATGCACAACAGCCCTATTCTCCACTTTAGAAATTCTCTTCCAAAAAGTCTTGTTTTTAGATGTAGTAGATAATGAGAGGAGAAACCTACTCCATATTCCGGTTTTGTTCTTCATTTTCCACCAAAATTTGATAGTCAAGGCATCAATGAACTCCTGAAAACCATGAATCCCCAAGCCATTTTCATTAACTGGGAAAGTAATTCTATTCAACGATCTCCAATTATGTTGAGACTCTTCATTCATTCCCCGCCAAAGAAATTTTTGGCACCTTTTTTCAATCTCTAGAATGACCGACCATGGAGGAGGGAGGGCCAAGAACACATGGACTGGAATGGATGATAAAACATGTTTGATCAACCCCAAGTGCCCTCCTTGACTAAGCATCTTGTTTTTCCAACTAAGGAGTCTTCGATCAAGATGATCCAATAAGAATTGGAAAGTGGATGCTGTCCTTCGACCAAGATATAATTTGTAGCCAAGGTAAGAAAAAGGAAATGTTCCACGCTGAATGCTAAGCTCCCTTTGAATTATAACCACCCTTCTTGCTTTGCAATTCTCTGCTACCATAAAAGAGCTCTTTGGCCGACTCACCTTTTGACCCGAAGCAATCTCATAGTCCATTAGAAAACCATTAAATTCCTTCAATGATCTCTTTAGACCCCTTGAGAAAATGATCACATCATCCGCAAAGGCGAGATGAGTAACTGGCAAGGAACCAACCGAAGTACCATAGGCAGCCACCCTACCTTGCGCAACTAGAGCCTTAAGGCGTCTTGTCATTGCTTCTAAAACAAGAATGGAGAGATAAGGGGACAATTGGTCTCCTTGCTTAATACCACGAGAAGACTTGAAAAATCCAACCGGACTTCCGTTTATCATAACCGAGAACCAAGCGTCCCTCAAGTTATTCATTACCAAAGCAACAAAATGTATAGGGAACCCAAACTTTATCATCACCTTTTCCAAAAAAATCCACCTTACTCTATTGAATGCTTTCATCATATCAAGCTTAAGCACAAAATTCCCACCTTCCGCTTTGCACCCCAAGAACTGGCAAAGATCATGAGCTAGCAAAACATTATCCATTATGTCCCTCCCATGCAAAAAGGCGGATTGCTCCTCAGAGATGATTCTTGGTAGCACTATCTTGATTCTTTCAGTCAATATTTTAGTAAAAACCTTGTTCAAGAAGTTACAGAGGCTAATAGGTCTATAATCCGCAAAAGAAGTAACCACAACTTTCTTTGGAATAAGAGTGATCAAAGTACTTGAAATTGACCTGGGATAGAGATGCCAAGCATGAATTCTTGGCAAGCCTGCCACAAGTCATTTGCAACAACTCCCCAACAACTTTTATAAAAGGTTCTCCCAAAGCCATCCACACCCGGAGCGCTATCTTCGCTAAGATTGAAAACAGCCTCCTTGACTTGCTCAAGCATTATAAGCCTCAATAAACCATTCTCATCATCATTATCAAGAAGACGCGGAATATGGTCAACAAACATATCTTGCTTTTCATCACAAAGCGGATCAATATCATTGTCATTCAACAAGGCCGAGAAGAAAGTAACTGCCTCTTGTTCAATATTCAGCTGACTTGTCAACATTTCCCCATTCTCAGACTAAATTTTGAGGATCCCTTGAGCCCCCTCCTTTCTTTTAAAGATGCATGAAAGAAAGAGGTGTTAGAGTCCCCTTCCTTCACCATTTTACTTTTATTTTTTGAGACCAAAAGTCATCATGTTCCTTGATCGTCATGAGCAACTCGGCCTTGGCAGCATTCAACCGCACCCTATCTTGAATTGCACCTGTTGTATCATATACTCCTTCAAGATTTTGGACTTTCTTCTCAGCCGCCTTTAAATTAGCAAAAACATCACCAAAGGTTTCTTTATTCCACTCGTTTAATTTAGCTTTCAACCGTTGCAGCTTGAGTGAGAACCTCAACATACCAAAAGCTTCCAATGGCAAGTCTCGATTGTGTTTAACTATGGCAAGGAAATCCGGCCTCCTTGACCACATTTTTTGAAACCCAAAAACTCTCGATTTACTAGCCAATTGGATATCAAACAAATGGAGCTTTGGGCAGTGATCAGAGCTGGAACGATTCAGATTCTCAAGTGAAGAAATCGGGAACAAATCATGCCACTCCGGTGTTATCAAGTTTCTTGCTTACCCATCCCGTTTGGCGAGTACCCCCCCGCCCCCGCCCCATGTAAACTCTTCACCAATCGCCTGATTATCTTCAAGGTCGCATTTATGAATGCATTCATTAAATTCTGAGATGGCTGCCAAGTCTTGAATCAAAGATCCTGAATATTCATCCAAGGTGCGAATGACATTAAAGTCGCTTCCAATCATCCAAGGGGCCAAAGAGTGGAGTTGTCTAAATGCGATCATGTGCTGCCATAAAAAATGCCGCTCCACCTTAGTTGATTTAGCTTATACAGTGTAACCTAGGTGATCGTCTAGGGATCACCCCTTTCAGCTGCTAAGCCTTTTCGGCTTTTGATTTTGGGCCTATTTTGCGCTACACCTTGACATCTTCATGAAATAAACCCTTGTCTCTATCATTAACAAGTACATTCTCCATATCCCCTTCCGACCAGCAGGCATGATTTCCAATATCAGACTCCAAGAAATCTGAGTTAACACCAACAGTTCCATCATTCGAAGAGTGTCCAATACACAAGGGACCTTCCCTAGCCAACCATTGCAAAGCATTCTCCAATTCAGCAGAGGTTGTGTTTTCAAGGTTTTCAACATATACATCTTCAATTTGAGCCTCTTCTTCCTCTTCTTGATCCTCATAGTCGGCTTCATCGATCGTACACAACAAAGCAAATCAGTTATCATTCCGCGCATTAAGGGTTTTTTGTGGCTACATGTTCTCCAATTGTAGCAACGCCTGTTGGGAAGGGACTTGGAGCGTTACTACTGGAGGAGGGTCTTGTCCATCGACAGAGATTCCAAGCAATTCTGGCTGAGATGGAGATGGTGCTGCATCATCCAAACTAGCATTGCAGCTTGCGGAGTTAGGGATTCCGCAGGCCTGAGTTCCGCAGCCTACGACTAGGGTTTCCGTGATGCTCCCTTGTTGCGACTTTGGGAGTGAGCTTGCCTTTGGGGGGGAGTCGCGAACATCAACAACTGTAGCTGCCTTCTCCTTCTCCGTCAAACGTGACAACGAGCCAACTACAGCAGTATCTCGTTCCTTATGCACATTCTCCAGTGGCTTTTCCGAAACCCTAGCGCGCAAGGGTACAACTTGCGATGGCTGTGCGGGTTTCAATTGCTTCGTTCCATGTTCCTCCGATTGTTGTTTGCCCTTCCTCTCTTTCTTCAATGACAAACCTTTCTTGCAATCCTCTACTTTGTGACCAATCTTGAAGCACTTAGAACAATAGAAGCGAAGATGTTCATATGTAAAAAGTTGCTCGTGTTTCCTTCCCCTTTTGCCAATTTTGACGGATTAAGGAAGTTCTTTTGTCAAATCGACCTCCACACAAAACCTAGCCACCGAAGGGCAAGTCATGTTCAATGTGGGGGCATCAACCTTCAGCGGCTTTCTGATCGCCGTAGCCATGAGAAGATGACCTTCGGGTTTAAGAATTCAATCGGGAGATTGCAAAGCGAACCCCAAATTGGTACTATTGGCGGATCCTCTTCAAACTTGAAACCTGGTTTCCACTTGAGAATTCTCATGGAAAAGCCGGTTACATTCCAAAACGTTCGCATCCAACAACGTTGATAGTCATCTTCGCGTCCATATCGAATCAAAACGTGCCTAGGGTTCATCAACCCTAAAGTGTATGCTCCATTGAACCCAATTTTCTTGAATTCTTTATGTATATCCTCTATTTTTGGTCTCCCATATGCAAACTTGCCAACCAAACTCATTTGATGAGGAGCAATCAAATGCTCGTATTCATCATCTTCATATTCAAGGATTCGTGCTCCATTAATGAAGGAAACTAGCTTGATTAGCGACGACTGAGAAGAAATATCATCCGGTGCTTTGCGAAAACAACTAGCAAAAGTGCGGGGAAGCCCAGTGGAGGCTTCTCGGGGTAGCTCACCGGCCATGGTGGCCGGAAAAATCCAATCGCGATTTGAAGTCTAGAGAGGGATCGGGAGGTTAGAGGGATCAGATCGAGAGACACGCTAAACTTTTGTTACCAAGTTGCGAATTAGCAAAACATTTAGTTACAATTAATAGTATTGTGTAATCGTGGGGAGGCCAGGTAATAACCAGACACTTGAATTGAACTCAGCATTTCAGTTTGAAAGTAAATACCAGAAGGTTAAATGAAGTGGCCCTGTTAATATAGGAACAAGTAAAAGACTATATGGTGGATCCTATTCACCTTTAAATTGCAAAGTTGCAATTGACATGGTGAAAAAATAACAATAAATGTTTAATAGTGGTACCCCTATGAGTTGTCATTTTTTGTGAATGTATTTAGAGGTGCTTGTTACTATTGTGAGTGATTAAGTCGTGTTTCACCCTTTTCTAACTAATTTTGAAAAAACTCCAAACTGTATAAAAATTATAAACCCTGCATATTTTGGTGATTTATAAGTTTGAGGTAATAAACTTAACATATGCTAATTACTCAGCAATCTAAAAATAATTATTTAACTGTTGATTGTATCATTTTCATGCACAAATGAAACATTTTTTCAGCAGTCATGAAATAAATGATGTGTGATATCTGAAGATGCCATTTTTCTTCTTGAACGTTTCTTATAAGGTACCCCTTCACAAGCATAATTAGTCGAGTTTTCTCCAATAACTTGAATATTTATATTAGCAACATTTCAAGAGGAAATAAAGGTAAATACTCATAGTTCATGAAGAAGATGAAAAGATTTGCAGTGAGCCAGATTTAGCAAAAATATTTCAATGTGATGGGATTAGAGGGATGTTTTCACTGATTTTTGCCTTTTTTGGGATAAAGATCACTTTTATGCTAGGAAAGCATCTACGAACCATAACAGTGTTAAGTCATTCGTTAAAGTATATCGTTATCATTTAGTCTGGTTGCATGATAACTGATATTTGTTTAACCATAGATAAACTTATGTAACTCTTTTTTTTTATACATAAGCGGACTATAATACAGCGTATATATACGTCACTATATGGATATGAGTTTCCGATCACGAAATGAAAAAGTGAAATTTGATGATCTCTAAAGTGATTCAGGGGAATAATTAGTTCCTATTTCTTGTGCTTGAACGCAGAGACAATGCATTATAGGCTTTGATTCTTTGATTACACATTCTTTTCCATTTCTTTCCTAGTATAATTTGAGTTTCCTTAATTTCTTCATCTCTAGTGCATTTTCCTTATCCACGTTGCAATTATTGAATTAGGTGATATAATACGATTGAAAAATAATTTCATAGATTTAGTTGATAATAGAAATAAAAGTAGAGGAGGAATTACATAAACTTGCCGCCGACTATCAATCCGATCTCTAAGTGATGGTGGTTAAGTTAGAATAATTAACATTTTAGTTCCAAGGCATATCTACTTAGAATACAATGTTTTTTTTTTCTTTTTGAAGAAAAACTATATAATATAAATTCCAACTGAAACCGTGCAAATTAATATGTAATCGCATAATAAAGTCAGTGGTAACCTTACTCAAAGAAGTCAGTGGTAACAACTGCTCATGCCAAAAAGTTAATATTGTCTTTCTATCAAATAGAACTGGTAAGATATTATTACTAATACGGGAATCTCAGAATGTCAAGTTCCTCCATTTTTGCCATTTGAATCACCTTCATCTCACTTCATCTTCAGAATATTTCACGGTAAACTTTAGGCATATGGTCATAGCCATAACTTTCACCCCTAATTCCATATCTTATGCTCAGCCTAGGAATACTTATGTTCTCTCCATCATTAAGGAGGGTTACATTCTCAAGACCGACATAAACTGCATCGATCAACCCCCCCCCAGTTGCAGGGTCTCGATGAGTTGCGCTACAAATGAGCCTTTTAGAAAAGTCAAGTGCTTGTTCCACAGTCTGATTTGGATTGTAACCATTGACGAGATGCAGACAAAAATGGGCACTAGATCCAGTAATGTAGGTAGTACCAGTAATTGCTCTCGCCCTGCCCTTGCAATCAACCCTACAAGCTTGCAGACCACGCCTTGGGCTATAACTTGCCAAAATTGTAAACTCAGTGCACGTTGAAGGAGAAGAAGATTGATCAATGTTTTGGTATCAATAATATTGCAATAGAAAGTTTTATATATGATTTGGGGCTGTTCTATAATTGGGCCAAAAGTTAGGACTGGTCTTGTATAGATTGACCAATAGTTGCATTATATCTAGTTTTTTACTTTGAGTGCTTTTGGACTGTAACAAAAACCCAGAATTCACGACATAAAGTTGATCTAAATTTCCCCAATTCATACATTGCAAATAACCCTAACTTCAATCAATCCGCTTCTGCAAATTCACCACCAATGTTCCTCCTTCCAAATCGTTGATGGTATCAGAGCAGGATAGTCTGCTCTTTACTTAATTGGTTCGGTTTCACAAGGTTTTCGATATTAAACAAGGTTCCAGTTTTCTCTCCTGTTCGCGACGTCGGTGCTAAGAATTACGGAGCTGACCAGGCACAGTGAGTCAAGTAGGGAAGATGAAGGACAAGTTAGAGAGCCACATAGAGAAGCAGAATTCTCAAGTTTTGGAGGGTATGTGCGCCCTCTTGTTCTGTTGCCCTCTGATAATCCAAGTATGTCTATTGTTTCCGCCCAGCTTACTGATTTGAATTATGTGCCTTGGAGTCATTCTATTAGAAGAGCGTTAAGTGCAAAGAACAAACTAGGATTTGTAGATGGGACTTTGCCTATTCCAAATGAGTCTGATCTTAGTTATGAGCAGTGGAAAAGAGTAAATGACACTATAGTTTCCTGGTTGCTTAATTCGATTTCTTTAGAGCTTGTTGATGGATATAGTTTGGCTAAGTATGCTAAAGATCTCTGGAAGGAGCTAAAGAATCGATATGGCACTAGTAATGCCAATCAAGTGTATCATCTGAGAAGAGAAGTTAGCACTATCTCTCAAGGAAATTTAACATTAGCAGCTTACTATACCAAGTTCAAAAGGTTGTGGGAAGAGTTGAACCTTTTAGATCCCCCAGAAAGATGTACCTATGCAAAATGTGAGTGCAGGCTTGACCGACCAGAGGGAGGACGTGAAGGAAGAATGATCACAATGCAGTTTTTAATCGGTTTAAATGACTCCTACTCTGCAATTAGAAGTCAAATTCTATTGTTAGAACCACTACCAGACATGAAGAAGGTTTATTCCATGTTGCTAAATGTGGAAAAGCAGCAACAGGTTCAGATGATGATATCTGAAAACAACCAGCATAATGCAATGTTGATTCAGAAGGGCAATAATTTCAGCAAAAAGAAAAATGACTTAAGGAAGGAGAAGGCCTCTAAAAAGACTTTATGGTGTAATCATTGCAAGATGACAGGCCACACTATAGAATTTTGTTATGAGATCAAGGGCTACCTAGAATGGTGGAAAGGAAAAAAGGGATCAAAGAAAGGACAATCTAATAAGCATGCAGCTAATATGGCAGAAAAACCTGTTGATGTTGCTGTAGAAGGATCCAATTTCACAGGAGCAGACATGCAGGCAATTCTCAACAGTTTTAAACAGTTGCAGATGGAAGTTAGCAAAATGGTGAAGGAAAAGGCTCAGGGCGATGGATATGATGCTGAAAAGGTAAATTTTGCACATTTTGAAGACTTTGCAGGTATGAGCTCATATCATTTGCTAAATTCAGTTGACTATTTGGATGATGATTCCTTAGTGTTAGATACTGGAGCTACTAGTACCATGTGTTCTAACCTAAAATTGCTTAAACATGATAAACCTGTGTCTCTTCCGGGTGGTTCAATTAAACATGCCACTAAATTTGGGGACATGGAACTATCCAAATCCCTTATACTTAAAAATTGTCTACCTATTCCAAATTTTAAATTTAACCTAATCTCAGTAAACCAACTTCCCATTTCTACTGGGATAGATTGTTTTTCTTCAACCACTTTTTGCCTGTTACAAGACAAAGTGACTAGGCAGATTGTGGGGGTTGGCAGGGTTTAGAACAGACTATACATTGTCAATCATGCTTCGATTTCAAGAGAAACAATCCTAGATTTCATGACAATTCATGTAAATTATCCTTTTGTATTAGCAACTAGTTTTTGTAAATCCCAGCCTTTACCAAAAATCTTGTTAGTTACAAATGCCATGTGGCATCAAAGTCTAGGACACCCTTCTGATGTAATCATCAAGCATTTAAATGTTTTTAATCATTCGGATAAAAATTTGCATATATGTGATGTGTCCTATTTCTAAACAATCACGACTACAGTTTCCTTTGAGTACCATTCAATCCAAGTCAGTTTTCGACCTCATACATATAGATGTATGGGGTCCCTACAGTCAACCTTCAATCTCAGGTGCTCATTATTTTCGAATATTAGTCGATGATTTCAGTAGATCTACATGGACTTTCCTCTTGCAGAATAAAGCACAATCAGTATCTATGCTATCTATCTTCTTCAAAATGATTCAAAATCAGTTTGATAAGTTGGTAAAGGTTGTCAAAATCTGACAATGGGACTGAATTTGTAGGTTCTCAGTGTCAAGAATTATTTGCTAGTTTTGGCATCATTCATCAGAGGACATGTCCTTATACGCCACAACAAAATGGCATAGTAGAAAGAAAACATAGGCATTTACTCCAGGTTGCCGTTCTTTAATGTTTCTATCCTTTGTTCCAAAAAAAATTTGGGGGGAAGCAATTTTAACATCAACCTATCTAATAAATAGATTGCCCTCTTCACTTTTGGGATGGAAAAGCCCCTTCGAAATTTTGCATTCCAAACAACCTAATTTATCTCATCTTAGTGCTTTTGGAAGTTTATGTTTCGCCACAAATAATTTGCCTTATAAGAACAAGTTTGATGCTAGGGCCATTAAGTCAATATTAGTAGGTTATCCTCAAGGTCAAAAGGGATATAAATTATTTGATTTAACTTCTC